GTTTTGTAGATCATTATTAACAAGCTTTCCAACACCTCAACCCAGTTTCACACCAATTCTGAGTGAGTCCAGTCAGCAGTATATAAAACATTCGACTGAACCAGAGTTACCAAGAGCGGCACTCCTCTGTAAATGTTAGCTGAATGACCAAGCAGAGGTTTTGGCAGTCTCCCCTGTAAACTTCGGCAGGACAGGACTAAAAATGACTTTGTAATCAGAGGGCTTAGAGAGCAAACAGAGGAGGARGGTAGAAAACCAGGGAATTACAGAGTAAGCCCATGAATTACTCAGCAGACACGTCTCGCTCCCTGCTTCTTCTCTGCAGGAGATAATGGAGATCATCCATCTTCTTGCCCTGTTTCATGCCCTGTCTTTTGGCCACTCATCTGCATTTAGGTCAGCTGAGAAACAACACGTTCTTCCTCAGAACTCCAAAGCTGCGAGACTCGCAGCGCTCGTCACTCTCAGAAGCAGAACTACCAAAACACAATCTCTCAATTTATTTACAGCAATTACAAGGATTTTTTCAACTAAAAGCTATTATGTTTCAGAAAACTTTGTTTTCTTCTCATTTTTTGACATAACAAATGACAAACATTAGTCCTTTCATATCAGTATGGTAAACATGTCGATGATACTTGCAGCTGATTTGTTTAGTTTATCATAAAAACTGTCAGAGGGGAAAAAAATAAATGTTTTCTCAGAAGAACTAAATGAGACTAACAGCACTTTGAAGCTCACCAGAGACAAAAGACTTTTGTTTTTTAAGATAAAATTATTCCTTTTATACAAAAGAACCATAAATGTCTGTGTAAGTTTTAGTTAAGACTTAATGTTATGAAACTATATTTATTGTCCACTTTTTTGGACCCTTTGTAATGTTTATTCTGATTTGGTCACATTCAAATTCAAATTGAGATGTGGAAGTAAATAGACATTTTCTGAGAACTTTATAGGGAATCCCCCATGGTTAATATTGCATTTCAGATACATTACAGATTGTCCATTCATTATTAAAAGAACTGGGAAAATTGCTGTGTGTTCATTTTATAAATACGTACAATATATATATA